GATGGATACCTCTGGAATAATATCAACAGAACACAGTTCACAATATGGGGGTTGGGGAGATGGATACCTCTGGAATAATATCAACAGAACACAGTTCACAATATGGGGGTTGGGGAGATGGATACCTCTGGAATAATATCAACAGAACACAGTTCACAATATGGGGGTTGGGGAGGTGGATACCTCTGGAATAATATCAACAGAACACAGTTCACAATATGGGGGTTGGGGAGGTGGATACCTCTGAAATAATATCAACAGAACACAGTTCACAATATGGGGGTTAGGGAGATGGATACCTCTGGAATGATATTAACTCCATCAGATAAAAAAGGAGAAAAAAGCAACCTGAACAGAAAAAAAAAACAAATCCACTGCTTACAGACATACCAGTAGGGACCCAGTTCCCAAAATAATTTCATTAAATAATTTAATTTTGAGCAGAGAGATAAGACCAAGCTATGGTGTTTTTTTAAATTCCTGATGGGTGTGCTATAAATTCATTAAGTCTTCAGACTTAAATCCTTGATTTAATCTGTAATAGCAAGTCAATGGCTTATAGTTGTATCCCTTAAGTTGAACACAAATACCAGTTCCTGCCTGTCAGACCAGTTAGAACTGGCTACTAAATACCCAACTGAGCTGCCAACTTTACCAAACAGCGTTTGTTTACTCTCCTCTAGCAATAAGAACAGTTCAAGCCTTAACTCTTAAAAGAACACCGCTTGTACGAAATTACCCAAAAGAAGTTTCAGAGATTTCTGGAAACTCAAAGCTAGCAGCAGCACACATTGTAGCAGGTATCTGGGCCACATTAGTTGTGGTTACAGAGAGAATGCAGTTCATAATCATCATCAGTTACAGTTACTTAATTGCAGGCAAATCTGTCCGACATATGAGTTATTATAAAGAGAGAGTTTCACAAACATAAAAGAAATATGATATTGACTTTTAATCAAATATATTTATAAATATCAAATATATTTATTAACATTCTTTTTACACTGGGTAACATTGCCAACCATACATTCCACTTTAAAAAAGACAGGGATTTACCCAAATAAGAATGTTATGTATAAGGAAGAGAAGTTACAGTAACTTAGAGGCATATTTGTAAACATAACAAAATGTTAGACAGCACCAGCTTTGCAATATATGAAGTTAGTTTTAATCTATTAACATACTGGATAACACTGTGAGCCATATATATTTCACTTCAAATAAATATGGTAGAAAAATCACCATCATTTGTTTAAGTTTAACTTCACAAACTGGCACTTGTAAATACCAGACCCATAAATTGTAAAATCAAATTTAGCCCAATTCATTAACCTAGAATTTATACATATGGTCTCTGAAAGGTGTCTAACCATTGAATCAACAAGGTCAAAACATTCTGAACCACCTACATAATGCTCTCTTGAAACCATTTGTACAAACATACATTACATCAGGGCCAGATAAGCCTGGAATCAAAACAATTCTTAATCTGAACCACATCATAATCCACACCAAAACAATTCCTCAGCTGCTGTAATGTACTGAACTGCATGTTTGCCAACAACATCTAGAACAGTGAAATCAGAAATGATTTGCAGGTTCTGGAACAGTTGTACATGGCTTAACCAGAGCACGCTAAACTTTTTTGCCCTGAATCATTGCACGTGTAAAATGAATCCTTAATGAAAAGTGTAAAAGAACAGATTATTACACATAAAACAATATTTTTCAATATTCCATAGAGAACATTTAGTTCAGTGATAGAAATGTACAAAATTTTT